AAGGCTCTGGAGCCAAAAAAGGAGAGAAGCATACAGAAGAATTGACTCTCCCTTTTTCTTTACTGAGAGTGCACTGTGTACTTGGTGCATGCCTGCCCTTCACTCCTCACAGCCTGAGGAGGATGGTGTGCAATGCAATCCACTTTACCGATAAAGAAACCAAGGTCTGGAAGCTGGATGGCCTGCCAGAGTCATGTAACCAGGCAGCAACAGGGTAGAAAGCAGCGCGGTCCCTGAATTTCAGCCTAAACACCAGCTCAGCATGCTGACCTGCCAACCTGGATTATCTCCCGACCACTTCCCTCCCTCCTGCCTCCCTTTCCCATCAGGTATTAGATTTAATTAAATTAGCAGATCCCCATTGCAACAATCCTGGCCGTGCTGCCTGGATAGAACCCAGCCAGTGCAGCTCCTCCCTCCAAATTCTGTCTCCCAATATAAGTCAATCTTCAAAAAGTCACAGATCTCATGGGAAGTGTTTTCTACAAAGCCTGGTGTGTTGGCTAGACTCAAGGCTAACAGTGGCTCATGATGATTTCATTTTCCATATAACTTCCTCAGTTTTTCCTCCGCAGCATCGTTTTCACCCTCTCCCCACTCGGATCTACAATTTTGTTTGATCCAGACACTTTGCTTCACATGCCGTCACCTCCAGCAATTGCATCACACGTTTATATATATCTTACAGCATGGCAGTCCTGTGCCACCACACAGCAGAGGAAAAAGGGAAACTTATAACAGCCTTTCTCACCCTCCTCCAACTAATTTAGAAAATGTGCTCCAGATTAAATAAATCGGGAACAAAAGTCTGAAATTGGAGATAGAATTTCAGAAAAGTGGGGTGGGGGGAGCTAAATAAATAGCCAGGAAATCTCTCAACATGTTGGAAGCCTATAAATTTTATTGGTTGTTTCTTTAATAAAAACAAATTTGATTGCTAACAACACAGTATTATTAAGCCTCTAACATTTAAAAATCTAATTTGCCCCTGCTCTGCTGCTATTATGTTGCATGTTGTATTCACGAAGGGCAAGGAAGCCAGGTTGATAGGTTTCGTTTGGTTCCTAAACCAGGCTAATAGAGACCCCTTTAAAAACCTAGTCTTTTTGCTCTCTAGGCATGCCTTGGTCTCTAATGAGTTACAGCCCCAGGTTGAAGATGGACATGGCAGAAAGAAATTTAACACACACTCTGGTGCACCCATAAACTTCAAGGCCAAGGGAGGGGAGGTATGTTTCCAGTTAAGCTAGAACTCCGTGAATGCAGGATTCTCCACTCACAAGACAGTAATTCTCCTTATTTCATCACTAACTTACTTCAAATGTGTTTATACAATTTATTGCTACTGAACTTCCAGGCAACTGGTGTAGAGTTAATGAAACCCAGCTTGGAGAAGCTTTAAGCTTTGAACAACTAACCACAGTTTAAATGGTTATGACATGCGGTCAAAGCCACAGCCCAGCCCCACTGCAGTTTCTGTGTTAGGACCTAGTCAAAAAACTTGTCATCTCACCTTTTGTGCCAAATAGATTGAAAAAGGAAAAAGCACTGAAAAGCAGCCTGCCTTGTTCCTTCTCAAGGCTCCTAGCATTTATCTTACTAAATGCAAGGCAAAGCCCCTCCCCCAGTGCCCAAGTAAATATTTTAGTTGCAGCTTGAATTGGCAGCTGGGCTGAAATCCTGAAATCCAGTTTGGGTTTAATTGAGCAGGGTCAGGCCTATGTAAAGCAATGCTGGGAGGCAGCTGCTCCAGAGGCATCAAGCAGTATGTATGTAAAGCCGGATTCTGTGAAAACCCGAAAGGCAGCAACACAGGACATACAGATGAAACTCAACTGGAAAAGAAGCGAACTTGTCTTTCCCAATTACTTGGACATTGACTTTTATTAATTCCCATTGTCACATGGCGTCCTCCCCCAAGCTCTGTGCGTGCAAGAACTCCATCCAGCAGCAAGCTGCCTCTTTTTAAACAGGCCCATTTTGGAAGAGTAAAGGGGAGGTACTGGGTTTGCCACTGCCGCACAATAAAAGCCCCTTTTGAAAGCAGCACTTTCATTAACTTAAAGCAATCTATAGACTTAAAAGCAGAGAGCAGTAAACTCCCAAAAAGGATCATAAAACAGCCAGTCTCAAGTTGGGTATACTTGAGTGCAATTTGCACGAGGCATTTTACTGTGAGCGGTGGTCGGGCCCATCTCCCTCCAGTCACCCCCTGCCCCTTATTCTGAGCAGCTCCTCTTTCTCTTGGCTTTCATGCCTTTCCTACTCACAAAGGGGAGGCAGTGACCGGGGAGTCTCCGCGGGGTCACGGCTCCCTCCCCCTTCAGGCTCTCAGCGGGAGAGAGCGTACGAATTCCAAGCCTGCAAAACAACAGCCTCGGAGCTCCGCCGCTGCTGCAGTGGCCGCTCCCCGGGCGGCCACGGCCACTCGTGGGTCGCGCTTCTTCCGTGCCTCCTAAGGGTTGCTTGGCTCCCCGTCCCCGAAATGCTAGGGGTGAGACCGCCCGGGAATGCGGACTCAAGATTACAAGGAGAACATTTCAAACCAGCTTCCCCTCCACCCTTCAGCACACTTTTTCTAGTTGGTCAGAGGATAACCTCCCTCCTCAGTCCGGACCTCTCCTAAGCCCATACTCCCCGCAGATAGGCCCAAGCCATGGGGATGCAACTCGAGCGGGAGGTCGCGAGTCCAGAAATGGAAGGCCGCCCCCTCCACTTCCACCAAGGTCCTGGGGGCTCGCGAAGGCCAGAATGGCAGAGTAAGAAGGAGGGCAGAGAGCTGGGGCTTTGGATAATACATCGTGTTATGTTTGAATACTATCATTTTCTCCGATTTGGAGAGGGGAGGGTCGTCTTTTAAATTTGCCTAAAATGAGAAGCTTTCGGCTTCTACCAGTTATCGAACATTTGAAGTGCAAAAAGCTAATACCCTGGGGACGTCCCGGCACAAATGGGATGACGGTAAGGGACCCCGAGCTTCCTCCTCCCCCGGGTGGGACATTGCACCACTGGCCAGGCTTGGGAGCTTCCCGGTCCGGCAGGGGCAAGAGCAGGCACAGCTTGTGGGTGACGAAGAGGCGGCTTCTACAAGGGCGCCAGAGTTCAAGCACGTCCTACCCTCAGTCCGCCGCGGCCCCGACTCTTTCAGACCAATGTGGCAACACGCTGCTAACGCTCCCCTCACCCACCCCACCGCAGGCCGCGGCCCCTGCGGGCCGTCCGCACCCGCCGCGCTGCGCCAGCAGACCCAAGTGGCTCCCGGAACCCGCGGAGCCTCCTGGGTCGGATACTCTGAGTCACTCGAGCCCCGCGAGGCTGCCCTGTAGCTTGGCTCAGAACGTCCCTTGGATTTGTCTGCTTCCTAGAATCTCTCTCCTATGACCGGGTCCTGTGTGCCCCAACTTCTGTCTTCCAGAAGGGCTTTTGGGGAGAAACAGCAGAAATTCGGGCTCGTCTGCCATGGCCCGGAACAACTACTTTCTCCCATACCTAAAGGCTTCTTTCATCTGCGGAGCTTCAGGACCCCCGCGCGCGACCCTTCCTAAATTCCAGTAGCCTGGACCCCAATAAAGAGGTGTGATGAGGTGACTGACTCCTAAAAACGCCGCCCATTCCTCCACCCGCAACTCCTACCTCCGCTCCCTGCTCTGGCCGGCGTGTAAACTACGCATCCATTGGTCTTTCAATCCTGATTCTGAAAACAGCCTGACTTCTATAACCCAAACTCTAGCCTGGCCCTAAAGCCCAGCCCTAATTCAGGGCCGATCCACAAACGCCCATGCCCCTCCACCAATTCTCACCCTGGGTCTCCCCACCGCTCCGGAACACTAGGGTCTCCGGTGAAGACCCCTGCAAGGGCGGCCCACTTCCCTCATTTCTTCCTCGGGTTCAGGAGCCAGGAAAGACCCGTCGCCTAACCCGAAAAAGAAACGCAAACTTTGCGCGGCAGATTCGGGACCCTGTCCCATCCCCCTCAGCCCTCTGCTCTTGAGCGCTTTCCGTCGCCCCTTTAACCAACTCATCCCCTAGTTCTGGAGCTTGGAGGGCTCCTGACTCCCAAGCCTCACCACGGGACTCTAGTTCTCCTCCCCACCTCACCAAAGACCCCCCCCCCAATCCATGGAAAGACAGTGACCCTACAAATTCTCGCCCCCCTTGCCCCCGGGCTAGGGTCCCTAAGCGTGGCCCCTCGGATCCCGGCTTCCCAGTCCTGACTGATCCTCCTGAAAATCCCCATTCACTCCCCCAGGCCGGGCCAGACGTGGCCGCGGCTCCTTGTCTCCAGTCACCCGGCCCAGGTCTAGAGCTGCTCCGGCTTCCAGCTGCTGGAAGGCAGCTCCAGGCTGGTGGCGCCGAGTAAGCAACGGCCCAAAGGTTGCACGAAGCCGGGAGAAAGAGAATCTGGGGCCGGCCCACGGTTCCCAGCCTCGCCCCGCGGAGCGCTCCGCCTGGAGCCGCCGGCACCCGGGTTCTCTGGTCGGCGCGCGGCTCCCTATTCCCCAGTCCCGGGGCGCTCCCGGCGCTCAGCTCCCCGCCCGCCCGCTACGGGGTGCTGGGCCCGCGGCGGTCCAGGTCCGCAGCCCAGCTCCTCGCACCCGCGGACAATACGCGCCCGGCCACGGGGCGACGCGGCGGCGGCTGGGCTGCGCGCTGGCCGGGCCGGGGCGCGGCGGGCCGCGCGGCTCTCGCCGCCTCCTTGCCCGGCCTCGCCGCCCCTCGCGCTGCTTCGCTCCGCGCTCTCCCGGCGCTTCCCCAGCTTCTCTGCACGCTCCCGCCGTCCCTCTCTGCTCCCTGCCTCCCTCCTCCCTGCTGCCTCCCTCTCTCTCCTCCCTGCTGCCTCCCTCTCTCCTCCTTGCCCTGTCGCAATGAATAATACTCTGGCTTGGGGACTGGAATAAAACACACGCGCTCTGAGGCAGCCGCCCGCAGCAGCAGCCGCCGCCGCGCCGCCGCCGCCGCCTGCAAAAGCGTCTCTGACATGGAAATGAATGACAGCTTACCTGATGCCAATCTTCATCAGACTGACACCGGCGTGACAACACAGCCTATACTTCCCAGCACTGCTCGGGACGTCAGCGGCACAGGGACCCGCCCCCCGGACCCCCCCTTCACACACCTCCCCTCTCCCCACTCCCCCTTTCTCCCCACCCCCCATCACCCCCACCCACTCCCGGCCCCGGCCGCTTCCAAGTCGGAGGCGCCGCTGGAGTGTCTCCCTCTACTGGAGGCTTTTCGCAGACGTGGCGAGCGGGCCTGCTCCTGCCGGCGGGGAGGCGGGAGGCGGAGCGGCGCCCCGGAGGAAGCCTCCAAACGTGAGTTGCCTCTGATGGGGAACAGCGGACCCCCAAAGAACTCCGGAGCACCCTGCCCCCCATGCCAAGTCCTCCTGAGCGAACAACTGAGGCACAGTTCCCAGACATCCGGTGCTGAGGGGACGGTGATGAGGTGGAAATTTTCTGTGGACCCCCAAGAGAACTCCCCAGAAATTATGCAACTTAAAACTGGCAAGAAATCCTTTCCTCCACCACCACTCTTCCGCCCCCCTTTCCTGCCTGGCTGGCCTCATTTTTATGATTGCATTTGAATAATTCTCATTACCCTGGCCCCAGAAAAGGTGCTCAGATGACACTCTGGTTAGTTATTCCTAGTCTCGAGAGCTTTTTCTGCTGTGGGCTTCCCAGAGCGTTTGGTACCAGAAGGGGAGAGAGCGTAATGGGGTGGGGCAGAGGGGGAGAGAAACGAGTGGAGAGGGATTGTCGGTAAATCGCCTCCTTGCAAATGTCAGGTCAGCCTGTTCTGAGCCACTGCTGCTTTCATTCTAAAAACCTCTTGGTAAACTCAGTGAGTTCCCAGACTTCTAGAGGTTGGGGTACAGTAAGATAAAGGGAGAGAACCAGCAGCGCTGTTTCAGCCTGGGTCTGCTGGGGTGGCTTCATCTACTTCAGGAAAGAAATCAACTTCTCCCCTAGTGCCTTCTGCAGTAGGAGACCAAGAAAGTTGTGTACCCAGGCGTGTGTCTCCTCTCAACGATGGTTCCAGTCCTACTAAGGGCCAGGTGTGGGCAGACTTGCTTGCTTCCACAACTTACCACATGGCCCTTGACTAAAGGAACAAGAGAAGCCCTTGTGTCCCTGGAAGCTTGCATCTTGCTTCCCATAGAGGAGCCATTTCAGCCACACTCTGGCAGCCATTGATCCTCTGACCCCAGGCCAGGCAGGGGGCCTGGATACAGCCTAGACAAAGACACTGATGTAAGCTGGGAAAGCAGAAAGGGAAACCCAGCCTGCCAGGTTTGCAGTAAAGAATCTGACCCAAGAAGTTGAAGGCTGCCCCTTAGCTCTTTCCAGGCCTCTGGATCACCTCTCACCTGCCTCAGTCATGGGCAAGGATGACAGCTATTGGCATTCCACGGCTCAGAGGAGGCAACTGAGAACTTCCCAGATATCACATCACAGATATACTAGTGTTTCTCCAGATCCTCCTTGTTCCTTCAAATATAGCCTCTGAAGTTGTTTATGGAAGAAACACACTTCACAGATAGCTCTGTTATCAAGAGTTGAATCCTCTCACCTTCACACAGATTCTCCAGAAACTTCACTAGGTAGATTTATGTCACCCCGGCCTCTGATCTGTGGTCAGAGACTCTGGCTGCTGACAGCATAATCACTATTATATATTATACATTGTATAATAATATAATAATAATGAATGCACTTGCCCTCTTTATGTAGTACAGAAGCAGCCAGATTCTCTAACTCAGAGGCTGGAGAGCAAGCTGCCATAAACTCTCCTGGGGAAGCCTCTTCAGTTCAGGGAGGGGGAGCTGAGGTCCATTTGTCTTTGCCCAGGACCCCTGAAGGAAGGGGTTTCTCTCTTTCCCAAGAAAGCGAACTTCTGTTGCCTCCAGAGTCAGAGGGCAGAGTCAGGCTGAATGTAAATACTTCACCCCATCAGAGAGGTATCAGTGAGCTGTAAATAGTACTGCAGGCAACAGCTTTGCATCACTGATTCACACTTGTCACACCCCTCGTTTTCTGAAATCTAGTTCAATGCCCTACTCTTTCTTGATATGGGAGATCCATTGCCATGACTTATTAATTTCTGAACTCTTAAAATACTATGATTTCCACTAGTTCATTCTTGGTGCTTTAAGGTGCACGTTATAATCTTAAGTCAACAAATCTTGCTATGACCATTGTTGTAATTTGCAAGAGCTTAAAAATGATTATTTAAAATGTAACTATCCATTTTATAACCATTCCAAACAGACATCTGCCTTGCACCCACTAGAAGCTGGACTGTGGGCTGGTGCTAAGGCTGAAGAACAAGAGCAGAGAGGCCCAGGTTACAGCGCCTACCCTCGAGGAGCTTTCATTCTAATTGAGGAAGACAAAGCACCAATGGGTAACATTAAATAACAGCAATGCAAGAGTCCAACAGAAGACACAAGCTAGCAAACAATTAATGAACAAATGAGTTGTCATTGTATCAAATTCCATGAGTTCGACATCTAGATTTTGGCTCTGTTAATGAGTGGAGAGGGACAGAGTAGAAATTTAGTCTATGGAATTCACTCCAGCTACTCTACAATTTCTCCCCATCATCTCTCTGAGGACAGAAAGTATGGAGAGGGAAGTACATGTCACATATGCCCAATCAGGCACATTGGCATTATAACCAAATAGGAGTTCTTACAAATCCTAATCACCACTGCCAAATGATAGAGTTCCTAAGTTGGCTCTGGGCTCTCTTCTCACTCTGTCCACACTTTGTCTTTAGTATAAGCAGCCGCAGCAGCCCAGGAGGTCTCTTCTAAGCTCCAATGAATATGGTCAATGTTCCAACTGAATCCTGCCTGTGTCACCCTATCAATAAAAATTTAAGACTGATCCATATTAATCTGCTCGAGTTGAGATACAAATGCCACTTACTGGGTGGCTCAAACAACAGACATATGTATTCTTACAATTATGGAGACTGGAAGTTCAAGATCAAGGTGCTAGCACCGTGGTTTCTGGTGAAGCTTACAAATGGCCCCTTCTCACTGTGCCTTCACATAGCCTTTCTCTGGGCACACAAAGAGAAACAGCTGGGATGTCTTCCTCTTCTTATGAGGGCACCAGTCTCCTTGAATTAGTGCCCACCCTATGACCTCATTTAAATTCCTTCAAGGTCCTATTTCCAAGCGCATAAACTTTGGGGATTAGAACTTCAAGATATGAATTTAGGGGGCAGGTACACTTTAGTCCATCATGCTGCCCAACTACCAGTTCCCTCCATTCTCAACTTATTTTTAATGAATCTTGATAGACTGTGATCAGGACAATATTTTGTTTCATTTTAGGATCCCTAAAACTGAGTACAGTGCCCAATCCAGAAAACATATTAAGGAAATTCTTGTTGGATTGAAATGAAGAAACTTATTTCTTCATCATTATCCCAGTCCTAGTTGAGAGGCCTGTTGCCAGTCACCTGAAATATTTTGATGATTTCCTAATTAGGCTAAATGCCTCCAACATCTCCGGTCCCTCCTATACATTTCCACCAGAGTGTTCTTTCTAAAACAAAGGTTGCACCACACCTTGCTTTCCTCTGAAAATCAGCTTTGCATTGCTTATAAGATTTACAGTAAAAGTTATTGAGCCCTTCACCCTCCTTGTCTGGCCTCTCAGGATAATCCCCTCCATTCCTGCCTGCAGCTCCCCAAATCCACCTTCCAGTGATGCCAGAGCTGGACTTTCTTTATCAGAAACCTAGAGAACTTTATAATTCAAGGTTCCAGACTCCACCCTTAGAGAAAGTCAATCTGGAGAAGGGCCTGGGAATCTGCATTCTAAAGGCTACTCCAATTGAGAGAGGTTTGAGAATTTCTATTCCATCATTGCCCACACTCATGCGTCCGATAACACACTCTGCGCTCTCAACTCTTCCTTGCTTGTACTTGCTCAAGCTATTCATTCAGCCTGTCTTTTCATTCCTTGCTTCCCACCTTCTGAAATTCAAATCTGCTTTGAAGACTTAACTGAAACATCATGACTCTTTTCAAAGCATTCTCGGATCCCTCAGCAGAGAGCACGAGCTTTGGAGTCACCCAGACCTGGCTCAGCGCCCTACCTCCCTCCCCTGTCACGGATGAGCCAGCTATCTGGGTAGTTCCTGACAAGCACTAAGCCTCAGTTTCTATGTTTGTGAAATGAGGATGATTATAGAACTCAACTCATAAGACCATGGAGATTAAATGAAATCATGAATGTAAAGAGCTTAGCACAGTCCCTGGCACATGGGAGGCTCTTCAATAAATGGCAGCCATTCAATTGAATAGCCCTCGACCCAGGGCTGCCGCAGCACTTTGCCTTTGCCTTTATTATAGTGCTTATTTAATTGACCTGAGGAAGGGAGATATTGTTTACTGAGATTGCTATGACAGGCCCTGAGGGCTGCAACGCAGACAGCAGGAGCAAGGAGAAGGAGGCAGAGGGATGCTTCTCTCTACCTAAGGCCTCCCTCCTGATGCTGGACCCAGGTGGGACAGTGGGGGCCCGGGGAGCCAGGGCTCAGTGAGGAAGATTCTGTTCCTGATGTAAGTGTGCATAAGAACTCATGCCTTGGAAAAAGGGATGGGGCAGAGGATGGAAACCTGCACAGTGTGAAAACTCAAATCTTCCAAAAGGTGGGACTCCAGGATTCGGCTCAAGGATTCTGCTCTCAGAGAATCCCATCTCTGATTTTTTTTGGGGGGGGGGGCCTGGGGAAGTCTCTCAGCTTCCCCATCCCTGAAGTAGGGCAATGAAGCCTATCCTCTGGATACATGATAGGCAACTAATTCGGTCATGTCTTTAACCAGCTTTTCTAATACAGGGGTAATATGATCCCCAAAGCCTTTCAAAAAACCCGTCTTTCTTATGTTACTGATACAGTTTGGGGAAGTTTCTTCAAGCTCTGTCTCTTCCCCCTGCACCTCCCACCTCCACCCCCAGTTCTACACACACACACATACATACACATATTGTGCACATACATACATGTACCCACACAGGTGTAAACACATGTACATACATGCCCACATACACAGACACAGATATACACACAC